CACTGGATATGCATGCTGAACACAGCAGCTTTTTCTTGGGTCTCCATCCCAACAATCTTCCCCTGGGAAGCTCATGAGATGTATCATAGCCCCCTTCCTGATCCTTTGCTGATCCCAAGAGGGCTTGGTGTGTCAGTAGCACAGGTGCCATCGTAGTGGGCTTGGCACTGATGGGGCCCTGAGACCTATGTGTCAGTCAGCATGTCTGGGTATCTCTGCTGGTCCCAAAATTTTGCTCCAGAGGGCAACCTTGGAAATGAAGGTCTTCCCATGGTCAGTGCAATCTGCCCTCCAGATGTCACTGCTGCCACACAAATCCCTGCCATGCAATCCTCCCTGCGCATTTTGCAGTAATGGAGAATGGGATAAAATAGCTTTACACACTTATTTTCTTCCTGCATGGTTTTTTTTTTTTTTCCTGCTGCTGCTGCCACACTCTATATTGGAACAAGGCCCAGAACATTTCCAGCTCCTGGTGGCACACAGCCCTGAATTCACTGCAAGGGTGACACATGCCTGGGACTGAGCACGAGCTGTCACACTGATGCCACATTTAGTCCTTGCTGTAAAAGCTTTCTTCCTGAAGACCACATTGATAAAGCACTGGATTTTGTTGCCAATTAATCAAGGCTAAACCAGAGCTAGCAGCAGAACCTGAGATCCAGATGTCATCTGGGGGCTTTCTGTTGTTGTTTGGGTTTTTTTGCTAGTTTGTTTTTCAATTTGTCCCGTCCCGCCCCCCCAAAAAAAACCCCCCAACCCCACTCTGTGCTACTGCTGATGTGCCTGGGATGCTGTTCAGTCTTTAACCTGGGAAGGAGTGCAGGGCTGGACCCACACTCTGCTACTAGTTTCCTGGACTGTCCGTCCTAGTCAGTTAAATAACTAGAACATAATTGAAAGTCATCTTTAGTACTAATGTCCATGCTAATATTTGTAGCTCTGGTCTCTGCTCCTACCCAGCCCTGTCCCTCCCCTGCTACAGCTTCTGGTGCTTTGGCTTGCTTGCTTCCTTACACTACAGACCCCGTTTGTGGTGGTTTTTTTGTTGTTGTTTTTTTTTTTTTTAATCTCCTGTTCCCACTCGTAATTGAAAACACTGTACTGAATGCTCTCCCTCCTTTTAAATCAGTTTAATCAAACCTGCCTCTGCAGAGCAGATCCTTTGCCTCTCCATTTGCTTTCCCATTGGGCTGAGGCCTCTTAAAACCAACTCCAACTATTAGAGGTGCAATATCCTCACTTTATATGGGACTATGACAGAAACAATGGATAAAATTACTCTTTTCTCATCCTTAACTACTTACATGGAATAAGTAGTGGGATAATTATGTGGGATAAATACATGGGATAAAATAGTTCTTTTATTGTCCTTAACTACTTTGTAAAAATACTCTAAAGCTTGGTGCATGCCATTTTGGCTACGTAATGGGATGACAGGGATTTTAGATGTCCTAAGTGGATGTTATTAAATACCAACAGCTGGTAACAGCAGAATGCATTGCTAAAATTCCTGAGCTGCTGCCACCCACTGGCGTCACTACATCAGTTTTGCAATGTCTAAATGCTCCCTTGCAAAGGTCCAATTTCTACTTTTAATTCTCATAAAACCCAAAGGAGAGGGCTAGAAGGAGTTCCCTTTCCCACTGTATGCCAGTAAGTCCAACACACTATCCCTTTTAGCACAGAGCAAGGAAAGGCAAAGACAGAAAGTCTCTTCTGTGTTGAAAACACAATAACCTCTTTTTCTTCAGAGACATAGGGACCAGCATTGGTGGATAAATTTTCAGGCTTGTTTTCGAACCAATTTTCTAACTTCCAGCAGTATTTACTGACTGGAAAGGGAATCCACATCTGACTTCTCTGTCAGCATTTCTGATATTGTGTGCACAAGGGAGATGGAGGGCTCATGTTATGGAGAGTATGGACCAAATTGTTGCGCTTGGCTCTAGCCAACTCCCACCGAAATCACTGGTGTCCTCCGCCTCCTCCCGAGGGCTGTGGAGCAGTGCTAGAATTGAAAGCCAGATTATTTGTGGCACAGGGAGGGCCAGAGTCTGACGTGAACCTGCCCAGTCCCCAACAAGTCCCTGTGACTGGTCTGCAGCTGCCATGGACCCGGCACTGCAGCATCTTCCAGCTCCTGCAGGCAAATGTGACAGCAGCTTCCTAGCAGGGGTGAGGGATGGGGTCTCTTCTGGTTTCTTCTGGTCCAGGGGGGCCAGGAGCTGTGGCAACAGCAAGCGACTGGTTGCTGCAGCTGGGCATGTGAGAAATGGATGACTGGCTGAAATGACATGTTTTGTCATGTGGGATGGCAGAGGTTCTGCAGGTGTGAAGGAAGCAAGGTAAAAAAGTTCGTGCAATACATCACAAAGCAGATTTGGCCTCTGCAACCCTCCACAAGCCTGTTAACAGGGAAGAAATACTCATCCCTATGCTCTGGTATCTGCAGCTAACACTACTGAGTGGAGTAAAAGAGATTTCTCCTGCCTCTAGACAAACAGACAGAAAGGGAGAGACCAACCGACTGCCTTGGCTAGTAGGACACAAGCCACTCTCTTCCAGCCACATGCTGCTTGCAGGGGTACACCTTCCTGCAAGAATGTAAAGAAACAAGCAGCTTTATAGAAACACAACACAGGTTTCTGTTTTAATGAGAAAATAATTATATACTTGCATTGTAGGCCTCACAGTCACTATAAAACAGAAGCAGGATAACATTTAAGTGGTTAACATACAGAAAGCCAGGTATTGTTGAAACTGATTGATAAGTCATGACAAGGATGCCGCCTTTTGGTTGCCAAACATGTCAATGCTACTATATTTTCCTTCAGATAATGTCAGTACGGAGCAAGATGAAGCCCAAACTGGCAGCTTTTAAAACGAATTGTTCAGAAAACCTGCACTGTAACCCCAAACTGATTATAATCACAAATGCTAATGCTTAACTATTTCTCAATACATAGTTTCATTAAAACCAGTCTTTGCCACGGGAAAGGATCTGAGCGTTTCTTTTGTGGAGACAAAGTTAACTCTGCAATAGTGCTTTTTTTGTTGCATTTGATATAGTTATATATAGATAGATATGTATTACTGGCATATACTTATAAACACCTAAGCTTGGTAGCATGCAAATGAAATAACAGAGGCAAGAAATCTGCATCGCACTCGCGTTACCGCAGCACTGAACGTGTGCTGTTGACTACGAGCGTCCATAATTTCTGGAAGAGAAAAAACTCTGCTGGGTGGAAAGTTTGGCTGTCCTGGACTGATACATGCAAATACTTTTGTCACAGGGGCTGAAAGTGAATGCTCCTAGCACAGAGGACTCCTTCCTGGCCTCTCCCCACCACCACATCCCCTTTCTAGGGAAACAATTTCATTTTCACTTCAAAGACCAAAGGCTGATTGTGGTGGTAGGGGAGGATGTGGCAAAGCATGAAGAAATGTCTTATTATGGGTGATCAATGTCACTGGCTTCCAGTGAGAAAACAGGAAGCAAACCCAGGCCTCCAGGTTAAAGAAAATAAAGATGCAGGTTCCTGGGAAGGCAGCCCAGGGCTGCCCCAGTTTCAGGGAGCAAATATTGGGGTGAAACTCTGAAGAGCATCGTTAGGTGCAAGACCACCTCACCATAAGTACAAGGGCTGTCTCCTCTGCTTAGGAAACTCCTTTTTCCCAGTCTCACTTAAGCTCTCCCCAGGGCTGGAGGGAGGCAGGACTCCTCTTGAAACAGATGTGCAGAGCTCAGGGATGCGGCTACATGACGTATGGTCTCATGGGAGTGCTGCACTGGTGGCGTTGCTTTTCCTACGGTCTTATGGCGACGACCCCCCCTGCAGATGTCAATCATAGTTCACTCGATTGCCATGTCTGAACAACGGGTCCACTTCATTAGGTATGCAATTCCTTCACAGGCATGGTGCCTCCTCATGCAGCTGGGTTTAGAGAGCATCCTTGAGATAAGCTCGCTGCCCTTATCACAGTGAACACTCAGTTCATCAGGGTTCTCTTCTGTTCAATAGCACTTGGGGAGTCAATTGATAGAACTGAGTTAACAGGCATGCGTAATTATATCTGCTACAATTCCCTGAAAATAAGCCTCAGAATGATAGTGTCCATGGACAGAAATCACATGCTGGAGGAACTGAGGGGGAGCGGGGAATAATTTGGTTGCAAGCTCTGTGTTTGTTTAAGAAAAGCACCAGAAGTATGTTCACAGTATCGGTACTCATTTTAAATGAGCTCACTGTTTCAGGATAAAACAGCACAGCAGGTCATGAAACCAAGGAAAGGCTTAAGGGAGGATCAGTATCCTGGCTGATGATTTTTTTAAAAGATGTCAAAACAATAATTGTTTGTTTATAAAAAAAGACAGAATATTTTATATAGAAAAAAGCCCAGTGTCTTTTTTTTTCTGTCACCTTCCAAATCTGTTGGTTTCTAGTCCAGAAATTATGGTTCCCAGTTGTAAAATATTCCTATTGTATTGCTTGCGTGAAAAGAAAGAGTAAACCCGCAGCCTCTATACTACATACAAATACAAAGCACAAGAATAAATACCACATTTCTTTTCCTAATTGTCAGCTTACAAAACTGGTCAATACTTTGCAATTGTGACTCATGCAAATACCATGTTGGGTCAAATTTTAATATCACAAATACTGCATTAACTCAGTGCCTTGTTTTTATATCCCCTTTCAGAAAAAAAAAAGGAAATTACCACTCACCCCTATAGCTGGTTAAACAGCTTTGGAGAAAATCATCAGTACATGCACTGCCATACACTTTCTGGTATGCCAGCCTCATGCACACACACGCACACACACGCACGCACACACGCACACACAGATCCACACTAATCCTTCACTGCTGATCCCAAGCCTAGGCAATAACTAAAGGCTCTATGGTTTGCTTGTAGCACTGAAAACACTGTCTGAATGGCAAAAATAAGGTTTTCTTCCCTTGTCTGCTCTTCCTTGCTCACTCCTTGCAACTCATTATGCCCTTTAGCTTTTTTAGTTGCCTGGAAACGTGAAGACTTCCACAAAGCACTCTACTTCAAAGGCTTTTTTATGTTGTATAAATATAGTTGAAGACGTAACTATCTTTTTTCTCTATTTCATACCTCTTTCTAGGCCAGAGTCTGGCTTAGTTCAATTATTGCCTCATTTAAAAATTATATGTCCTTTATTTGTATCCCTTTCCCACTACCTTTCTACTTCAAATTATCCATTGTCATAGATTTTACACATAAGCCATTCTTTTCCCTCCCCATAATCAAAAAATAGTTGTCATCCACTAAATACAGATTTTTCTATTTAGAAACTTTGTTATGTAAATATGCTCTGAGAACCTGGAGCTCAGGTGATATTGCAAGCATACAGGATCCTAAAGCTAAGGTAATCCATTTGGCTTAGCTCTCATCCCCATCTATTCCACTCCTAAATTGTGATGGCTTGTGTTTGCAACACAAGGACTGTTTTACTGAGTCTGCTGGATTGTACATTTGCAATAACCGCCTCCCTGTTTGTTGCTTCTTCCTTTTAAACACATAAATTACTAGAAGGGGGGAGCAGAACCCACCCACCCCAAAAACAACCCCAACCCCAAACCCAACCCTTTGGTCCCCTCGAAGAAAGAGCAACAGAGGGCAATATCGTTGTGTTTTGTGGCTGGATAAGAACACGCCGAAGTAACGCCGATGGTCTCGGTGCAGCGGCTGTGGGAGGTGACAGAACTGCAGGAGGGTCCGACGGGAGCTGCTGGGGGGACGGTGATCCCGGGGGTGAGGCAGGGCTGCCAGTTTGGTCAGCGGGAAGTACGAGCGTGACAGGGCTCCTCCACACCGACCTCCTGCCATGCACCTGCAGCCTCTCCGGTCTGTCGGGACAATTGTCCCCTTGTCCCCATCAAGGGCTCCCACCCCCTGCACCCTCTCCATTGCATTATTTCAGAGGGGGGGATGGAGGGAAGGAGAAGGGGGGTATTTTCTAGGTGGGTTTTTCCTGTTGCTTTAGGATTGCCAGGAGTTGGATCATTTCTTGTTTATGTGCATCATCGAGTTTGTTGTGTATTTAATAAATATTGGACTAAAATGCTGCTGCTTCGTGGTGTTTTTTGTGTTTGTTTGTTTTTTTCTTCCTTTCTCTTTTTTTGGTTTCAGCATGCCTAGTCGCTGTCTTCACGCTGCAGTGTGGTTATTCATCCTCCTCCCGGTTGGCATAAATGCCGGCTTCCCAACGCAACGCCAGAGCACTCTTTCTGCGGTTCACCCTGGTCGCCTCGAGGACCTGGTCAGGAGAGAAAGGGAAAACACAACACATCACTCTGCTGCCCGTGGCCCCCATGCCAGGGTGCCCTGCACCGTGTGTGCAGGCAGGCAGGGACCAGCTGGGCCAGCCCTTCCCACAGGGCTCCCAGTGCCGCACCTCGTGCAAACTGGGAGGACTCATGCGATGAAGCACTTGCTGATGTGAAGGCAGGGGGGATGGCACACAAGAGCAAAGCCACACCACGGGAGGACAGAAGTGGTAGGGGTTGTCCAGCAGCACCCAGCTCACTCCAGGGGAGCCCCAGCTGCCCCTTACCAGCTGCAGGTTGCCCCATCCCTGCCTAGGGAAGGCAGGGGACAGGGTCTTGGTCCTCTTCCCAGGGGCAGCTGCACACCTTCGGTACCAGGAGCCAGCAACTGCCTGGCAGCTTTGTCCAGAGGCTGCTTTGGAGCTGCATGTGCAGCCTGGAAAGCAATCTGCTGCTTATTTCAGCACCTCACCCCCAGAGGCAGAACTAGGCAGCCCCCCTGCATCTTCTTCTCATGGTCTTTGGCTTGCAGCTACACCAACGGGAGAGCCTGTGATCAAAGTGCTCTTGGAGTGAAAAATCACTCCATGCATATGGGAAAGGAGATTTACACAAGGAGAACCTGCACAGCCTGCAGAGTCTGGTGCAAGATGGGCCCCAGTACAAATTTTTCACACACACAGCCACACGCACACAGATATATGCACACATATAAAAACATATACACTGTGTATGTATTATACATACGGATACACAAGCACACAGAGAAACAATTAACTAAAGAAGTAAGAAACAGTTTTAATATGTGTTTTAACAAGGTTATAAAAAAAAAAGTTAAAACAGACAAACCCAAAAGATGTTATGGTGATGTGCATCTGATGTACTCCTTGGCAAATAATGCACAGCAGTGGGTGTTTTCCTCCCAGCAGAGTGAGACATAAAAGGGTCTGGGGCCTTTTTACAGAAGCACGTGGCAATGTTATTTTCTGACTGACAGTGAATAACAGCTCCACAATCAAACTACAAAGCTGCCAACGTCAGCTGCCCTCAACATGTTTTAAAACAGCCCTCCCAGAGGAGTAAACTTTTTAAATGTTTCAACAGCCAATTAAAAAAATAACAGTAAAAAAGCCCACCCCAAAAATACGTGACTGTTTACTGGACCAATGCCTACCATCCTTGGTCCCCATTTCTTCCTGCAAGCTGTTCTGCACAGTCCTTGACTGCAGAAGAGCAGCTGGCCTTTTCAGAAAGGACAATGTTATTTTATTCTTCTGCGTAGAAAGTCAGATGCAGTGAGGACTTCAAGTCTTGACTAGAATAAAAATAAATAATTTAGGACTAAAGGAACTCTTATTTCAGCTTGTGAAAAGCTCTGGTTGGAAAAGTTCACAGGTAGTAGAGGCTCCTGTATAGGCAATACTGGAAAACCAGCTCCAAATTGTCAACTGAAATGATAGCCCATAACTCTGCTTCCAGGAACGAGAACACACTCTGCATTTATGCTGAGACCCAGACCTCCACTCAGGAGCTGAAGGGAGGGTAGGGTCTGGCCAGCTTTATTAGGTCTTTGCCCTCCTAATTTCTTTTGACTACGGCTATGAACAAGCCAAAGAACTAAAGGCAAAATCCAGCCAACAGAGACGATTTTGAGCTAATGCTCCATCTGCTTCCCGGCACTGACTAGGGCTACAAAGCTGGCCCAGGTCCACGGGAGGGATTTTTTGCTTTAATTTTGCCCAGAATCATGCCTCCTCCTTTTGCAGAGCAACCACCAGAAAGGGGGAGTAGGGCTGAGCAGTTTCTATTTTACCCAGTAGAGGGCAAATGTGTTCACAAACCCAACAATTAACCCCCCCTCAAAAAATATTGAAAACATTAAAAAAATTCCTTCTGAGGCAACAGTCTGTAAGCAGCATACTGGAGCTACTCCCGCTGCAGGGATGGGGACCCGCGGTCTGAACTACATGTCTGGGATTCTGAGTGCATGAACCAAGAAAAGGCAACCCACACCAAACAATGGAGGAGCAAAACTGAGGAGCAAAACGGGGCATCATCTTACTGTCTTCTCAGAATAAGAAAAGACAGTGTCTGCTCCAGGGTTAGCAATGAAGAGGGAAAAAAACACAGTGATTTTTTTTTTTTTCCTGGATGGCAACAGACAAATACTGCTCAACACAAGGCTATCAATATGGGATAATGATTAAATAAAACACAGAAAATTACTCTTTTCCCCACTAGATATTTAAATTTCCATGAAAAAAACCCCAGTAAATTCAGCATAAATTTCAAACCCAAAATGCCACTGTCACAGAGTAGCAGTATATTTAAATGAGGTCTGCTGAATTTGGCCTACAGATTTATGCCAGCTGAAAAAAAAAAATGGATTTTACGTAATTTACAGCAGTTTCCTGTCAGTGTCTTCATTGCTGGAAATCACAATGTTGCAATGGTCTCTGGTGATGGCTTGCAAGTCAGGACCCTTAAACTTTGAAGATCTCTGCTTTGGATCAGTTAGGTCGTCTTTGTCTTAAAAGATGGCAACAGGGTTTCTTCCGTTTATCACCTGTCTGTAAATGTGTCTACTGCAGCAAATGCTGCTGGTGGCTCCAAGGAAAAATGTTTCCAGAATTATATCAGAGACACCACGAGGGCATTGAATGTGGACTCAGCCTTTGCAGGAAAACAAGTACTGATGTCTGGCTTAGTATTAATAAACAAGCCTTCTAAATACCAGAGCAGATAGTAACAAGCTGAAGGTCCTTTTGGATAGTTATTCCAGAATTATTCTTCTAATCTACTGAAAAGAGTGTTTGACCTAAAATAACCATCATTTTTACTAGGCTGTGTGTCATTTTACACCCACTAGAGGAAACAATGGGGTAATTATAGCATGCAACTGGAAGGACTTGAGTGGAGAACTGGGACTCCTCAATGGAGCATTGAATTCACCAGCCTAAAATAGCAAACGATCTCCATTTTAAAATATTCTTGGCAGATATTAGGGCTGTCTGTAGATGCTGCATGAGTCCAGCACCCAGAGGCTCTCCACAGCAGATCTAAGGAAGGAAAGTCTTTTGCTTTTGCTGTTGTGGCCATTTTGGGGATCTGTAACACAGAGCATTTTGGCTATGCTGCAAAATGCTACCTCAAGGCTTTGTCTGTGTCCTCCCTGATGGTGCCCCACAGCAGCTCAGTTGGTGCAGGCGGGGTGACCGACCCAGGAAGGGGCATCCTTGGGTGGTCAGGGCATCTCAAGGCAGCCAGGCATGTAAAAAAGACACTACACAACAAAGGTGTATACCAAAAATCAGAAAAATCAGGAAGCAGACTGTTCACTCAAGCTTAGGCTGAAGAACTGAGCTGGCTATGTCCTAATGGTAAGGCCACGTGAGTGAAAAAAGCAATGCAATATAAAATAATCTTATTTAGGAGAGGCAATTTGACCACTAGCTTCACTAGAAGAGGAAGAATTTGGAGAGCACAAGTAGGTGTGAGGGAAAAACAAACGTACCAAGATACCCAGGGCTGTAAAAAACACTATTCTCTTTGCAAAAAACTGCTGTGTGAGTCTTGTGGTTGCAGCTCTGGGGTCTTACCAGGGATTGTAAAGGGCTCTTTCCTGACAGATTTTATTTATTTTTGAGGACTTTTTTTTTTTGGGGGGGGGGGAGGGGGGTTTAGGAGGGTGTGCAGGGAAGTTTAAAACAGCTACCACTGTTAGGTGAAAGATTAGTTTATCTATCCATCCTAGAGGTGGAGACTAACCTGTCCCAAGCTTCCCTCCAACAGACATAACAATAATTGCTCTCTTACTGGCAACAAGAGAATAAAAAGCAAAATAAAGGTATACCTTAGTGCAAAGCATATTTATCCCCACTGCTGAATGAAACTGACTACTACACAGTACAGGCTAATTTTTATTCAACAGCAGCAGCAAAACTGATGTAGAAGGAAAATTATTTTTCTGGAGCTTAATATTTTACTGATTCTTCCCATCTGGACTTGGAAGAACTAAAAGCAACAAAAACAGGCAATGCAAAGGTCTGGGTGTCTAAAATCTACCAGTTCTACATGGGAAAGTCACTTCACAAGACACCTCTATAGAGCACCCCGTGCACAAAGAGGCAGAAGCACAAAGGCAGGGAACAGGCTGCCTGCTCCTGCAGATATGACCATTCCCACTCAGGAATGATAAACTAAATGCTTTAACATAAAATTGGAATAGTGAAGAACAAAGGACATTTATTTCACTAGTGTAAAGGTATTTACACTATTCCCTGGATACAACAGACCTCTAGTGAGCACAGTGAGCAGCTGGGTATCTGAAACAAAAATGTGTTTACCTGAAACAAGACAGTAACAGTATTATACTGTTACTGGCCAGTATGAAAACATAAACTGTGTGCCTTCTGCCATCTAATCTAGGATGCTGGGTTTTTGTTTTGTGACACAAAATCTCAGCAGTAGTCTTTAACGCTGCATAAATGTCACCTTACTGCAGTCTCTCCTACAACACGATTGATGTTAAGCAAACTTAGGATAATGTCCCATAAATCTGAAGATATGTACAGTTGTAAGGACACAAGCAGAAGATTTTGAGGATGAAAACAACCGATGTATGTGCAGGCATTGGTTATCTGTTGTGTCTTTTAAAAAGCAGATATATGTGCTTTTAACACAAGTTGCATGAGTTTGGAGGTGATAAAACCACAACAACCCAATGAAGCAGGCTGTGGTTTGCTGCACGTAGCTTAACTTCAGTCATCACTGTACATTGCTGGGGGTTTGTGGCTTACCAGAGTAGAGCTCCCAGGCTGATGATCCACAGCTGGGTCAGCTCTAGTGCCACTGACATCGAATAAAATTGAGTCACCTGCCTGCACCAGTGACAATTACGGAGGACCCAGATGAACAGGAGCTCAGCTCAGCTCCGGGGTCAGTAGAGATTAGAGGGGCATTATGCCTTGAGTCTTGCAGGTCCTTTCAAAACAACTTCCCTGCTTCAGCTAAAGATTTCCAGTGAGAACCAAACGGTTCCTTCAGTCTGAGGTTTAACACCGGGGATTATCCAAGTGGCATACTGGCACCTGCATACAGAATCACTGTGCTCTACAGCCTTTTAAATCTCTATTCCCTTTCCTATCCATGCACACTCATTTCCAGCTCATTACTCCTTATGTCATTATTATTTTACAAGGTGGACACGCAACCCAGGTCAAGGGCTGGGCATGTAAAATCTACACCTGAGCTTCTGCCTCTCACACATCACCAAATGCTCTGATCACTACTTAACCATTCATAAATTGTAACTCAGATTATTGTGCAGGTATTACGGGGGAGAAGAGGCTCAACCTGTGTTTAAAACCATGTCTCTGAAAGCACACTGCTCTTACAATGACTGACTTTCTATAAATACTCTACAGAAAGATCAATCATTGTATCGGTGAGATAAAACCTACACTAAATTATTTCATGAATAGGGAATGGATTAGACTTGACTTTGCTTTACTCTCCAGGACAGAAAATGTTTATACACTTGTCTTGAGGTAGCTGGTGTGGTCAAATATGTTATGGAATAGGGAAATAGTGGAACGTTTGCTGAAGCTGGACAAATGAATGTCAGTCATTAGCACAACCTGTTTGTGTCCCTTAGAGAAGTCCAGATTTACACATAGGTCTGCAAGGAAAATCACAGGCAATTGAAATGTCCATGTTATTGAGCACCTCATTCTAACACACATTGCAAAAGCGTAGTTGGTTTCAACTCCCTGCTCTTAAAATTGCTGTGTTTGGCAGAGTCAGCTTCGTAGGGATAAGGACTATGCAAGTTATTGCCTTGCTAAAATACCAAATGTCACTATAAATACCCTTCCTTTAGCAGGTCTGGATTTCTTCTACTCTGAGACCAACACTGATGCTAAATTGTGGGACTGTGATCTGTCATCACATCACAAGACACAGGGACAAGGACAGGTTCACAAAATTCACCAGACTGAGGCTGTGCACTTGGGTCTGACTCTCTTCTTCCTCAGATGAAAGGTTGGTGTGCGGATTCTTTACAAAATACTAGCGATTTTGAGAGCACTAAATAACACTGTAATCAGAGACAAAGGAAAGCCACAGCAGTTTCACTCAGGATCTGAGGATGCTTGGATCCCAGGTTTAGCTTCATCAGCTAAATGGTGACAGGGATTAAGGTGAAGCTGTCATTTCACGCCTCAGGAATGCTCCACTCCTGGGCAACAGCTCCCATCCCTTTAATTACAACCCCTCCCATGCCAGAAATTGTAACTAGAATCCAAGGGTTAGAAAACCAGCCACACAAATACTTGTTGATGAGAGATAAGAAGGGATATCCCTCACACACATTTGCATCCTGGTTTTGATATGAAACAGCACTGGCACACAGCATGAAAATGCAAACCGCAGCAACATGCACTTGGAATCACCATGCAAGAGAAAGCAAAAATAAATAAGCAGTTGAAAAGTACCTCAGAAGTAACCTTGCTAGACAGTAATTTACAGGTGTACTGGTAGAAAGGGAAAAGACCAGCATTAGTACATTGAAAAAGCATGTTATAACTAGGAAACAAGAACAAAATAAAGAAACTGCAAGAACTAGCACATCCCAGAGTATAGGATTTCAAGCAACATAGTGTCATTAAAAAAAAAGGTAAGTCAGTTTGCTGGTTTTTTAATGACATTGCTTGGCCAGTCTCAGTCTTGTTTACCATCAGTGCTTGACCTGTTTTCTTGCTGCTGCTTTTTTTCTTTTTCTCACCTGTTGAAACCTTCTCTAACATACATCCTCTTTGGAAGAAACTGCCCAAGCAGTGAAGTTCTTCCAAGAGCAGATGTGTTTGATTTGCCTTCTGTCTCTGAAAGGCAAAACCTGGAAGGCCCAGCCAGAGTGGCCACATTGAAGCCAGACATGAAACAGAAGGTGGTCATGTTTAAAGGAGAGGCAGGGTAGATGTCATACTCAAAACATCCTCCTGCCACAAAGCCTGTGTCTTATGTAGGGAGAAACGGAAGGTCTATGCATCAGTCCTGCTGGTGTGCTCAGCACATGAGGGAAAGTCTCCCTGGACATCAAACATCTCCACAATCCCATTCAGACAGTGGCTGCTGCCTCCCGCCCCTGCTCTGCTCAGCCTCCGCTGCCACAGTACCCTGACTGCTCCCAGTGCCCGGGGAAGTCTCTGGTTCCCCTCGCTCACAAAGAGCAATCACGAGCCACGTTCAGCTCTCAGGACTTAATGCTCCAAGTGGCAGCTCTCTGCCTGGTTGCCATGCTCCTTCCCCTGCTGTATTTCATATATTTTTTAGAACGGGCCAGTAATGTGCTCTTTTGTTTTGTAGTTACAGAAATCTTTTTCCTGAGCACACAGTCAAATGTCCACCGCTGACAAATCAAAGCTATTTGTTGTTTAAATAATTACTGCTTAGCCTGGCATGTAAAATATTGGCTCAAATGAACAGTGGTACAAGTGCAGCACTTCTTATTTGAATTATCTTTCCCCTGTCAACAGTGGGTGTTGTTTACACAAGGACAGCGGAAAAAGGCATGGAAGAGAAACAAAACACTCCTGCTGGTCTGAGGAAGCTCTCCCTGGGTTCTGCAGGACACTGCACTCTAACAGGATTTTGGGTAGGCAACAGCAAGAATAAATCTTGTTTGGCTCTACACAATGGCCTTAGAGAAGAGGAGAATGACAACAAACAGCAACACTGCAGGAATTCAGTGTGCACTGGGGCTCTGTAAATTCACTGTAGCCTTGACAATTTGTCCCAGAAAAGGATCCATCCCACAGCTTGCCTGAGCGGCACTGATGCTCTGGCACTGCATCTTTGGGCAGTGGGTGCTGGGGCAACTCGAGCAGCAGAGAAATGCTCAGCCAGGACCCAGAGCACCTCTTTGGTCAGACACTGCCCAGACCAGCCCTCCGGTCAGGACATCAGCACCTCAAACTGCAGAAGAGACTATGCAATCATGGCCAACCTGCTTTCTAGGGGCACCTCTGCAAACACCTGAGTAGTTGCACTCAGGTAAGTGAGCAGAGGGAGTTAGGTCCAACGACATCTTACCTGTGTGCTACAACATGTATGACAAATGGCATGTGACCATCACAGCTGCGGAAGTAAGATTGAGCCACAAGCCATCACTCTGTGGGCTAAGCAAGTCACCTTTGCCCTTCACAGGGGTGGAGGAAAAGTGCAGGGTGAGTACCAGCTGAGTGTCACCTCTTTAGCACAGCAGCTTCTCCGCTGTGCCGAGGTTTTGAGCCACCAGACTGACAGACACTCACTGCAGGACTCCCAAGGACCAGATCTGGTTTGAAAGGCAGGAGTTTTACTCCTCTCTTTTTCAAAGCTCCTCCTGGCTTCTGCAAAAGGCGTGAGGGTGTGACATGTCTCCTGAAAGCCTCTGAGCATCCTTCAGGGAAACAGGTCATCTGGGGAGATGCCAGACAACAGTGTACACTGGAGAAGGTGGAGAGCCACCCCATTTCACTGGGTGCTCTGGGGAGGGAGGAGGGGAAACCAGAGAGCTGCTCCTTCCCAAGACACAGCCCCAGGATGCCGCTGCAAGAACAAGGCACGCTCCGATGGCATCCTATGTGGCAGTGGGAGCCTGACGGATGATGAGATCTTGTTTCTAATGGCTTCAGTAGAAGAGGGGATCAGAAAGTTTCTGGTGTGTGCTGGTAATTAATCTGTTTCCATTTTGGGTCAGTTCTCCTACTATGTTTTATTTAACCAGAAGAAATGCAACAGGACCCCTCCACATCGCATTCCTTCTGATTTTAAGTATTTTATGCTACGGTGCAATTTTCACCAGTAATGATTAAAATCTGCCAGACTAGTGCAGTATTCACGTTACAAATCTTCACTTACTTCTATACACCTAATGAGGCTCTACCTTTAATGAACATTACTAGAAAGCAGTTTGTTTGGAACATGAGCTCCTTGGTGCTGGTGTCATCATTCTGACACCTCTGGGAAATGCCTGGAGGACTGTGGCTGCTTCAGGGAACACATAACAACAACTATGTCCATTTAAGAAGTTCGATATCTCACTCATATCTCACTGCCTTCTGCACTCACTGCCCACAGTAACAATGAGTCTGAATAAGAAACACCTTGTGCTCTGTTGAGGTATAGGTTGTATAATGGATGCACCTGAATTTTGATACTTCCAGCTATGAAATTCATAGCTCTTCTCATTAGTGCCTCCAATAAAGAACAACTTAATTGGGTCAAACTCTACTAGAGTAATGACTGAAATGCAGGTAACCTGTTTCACAAAATGAAATTCTGGCTGATGTTCTGTTTGTGTGGAAGAAAGACAACAAACCCAGTGGGAAACAGCATGCTGCCTGTTGTCGGATCCAGGTTAATTTCTGAGACATTTGCAATCCAATTCTGCAAGGGATTATTTCCAAGAAGTTGTGCATGTACACTGAGCACACAGGGACGGGACTTTGAGAGTCTATGAACACAGGCATGAATATGTGCTTGAACTACAAAGTTCAAAAAGGCACTAAAATAACCCACTGGAGGGTCTCGGTGCCAATTGCAGGGCAGCTACCCCCTTCCCTTAGAATTAATTAACTTACTTAATATTAGTTGCTTCTGGTATTTGCAGCAATGCTCACTCTTCCTCTCCATTAGCCCTTATCCTTCCATTTCAAACACACTGGCCCTTAGAATATGTTACAATCCTTACACATTTACAAAGTGATCTCAGCAGATTCTTGGGAAATAAGTATTTCTGAGGTCTGAATGTTGTTTCTCATGAGTCATGGTCTCTATCGCAGAGCAGAAAGCAAAAAGGAAAACTGCACTTACACTGCTGTCGTCCATCCTTTCTCGTCTCTTAGTTTTGTGTGTTTCATAATCCTCCATGAGGGTCTGCATCAGGTTCTTAGGTCGCTGAGCTCCTACAGGCTCCTCAGGCGGTGGGTCAGACTGCGAGACGGGGCCTTCTGTGGTGGGGGATGGAGGAGGCTTGATCTTCTCTATCTTCCCTGCAATGGCATGAAAAGGAATGACCCTTTCTAAGCTAAAGGACTCAGAAGTTGTTTCCAACAGATGACAGCTAGAGAAGCATTTTCAGCAGTGTTTGAATGAAAAAACAGTTTGGAATTAAGTTTATGAAACAATCTGGTAAATCAGGATGGTCATGGGCTTTTAAAACACTCTATCTCTTCCTGAAATGCAGTACATCAAAATACTACAAAATCTTTTTGCAAAACCAAGAAGAGTTATCAAACAACACAATACAAATTCAACCCACCACTATTACTTACAGTAGCATCTGGCTGAATTAACTTTGCTCCTTCCTACATGACACATTTCAGTGATCTGGAAATATTTGTAAGATCCTAGAAAACCACAAGATGATTTTTTTTTTTTTCTGGCTCAGACAATACAATGCACAGGATGCCACCATTGTATGGCAGGGACCATGTGCCAGATGTCCAAAGAAGGCATCTGGTTAAGGAATGCTGGCTTTTTCTGTTTTTCCCATGCTTTTTATCTGCTTTGTAAGTGTGAAAGGCTTTGGGTTGGTCCCTGGTGCTACTCTTCCCCTGCAGCTGTTCTCTGCAAGTCTCCCTGGAGGGAGACCTGTGGCAGAGCAGGATGGGGTCTCTACCCCACACACCCCTTGTTCAGACAGGATCCTTCAGTCTCCTAGTGGGAGGAAAGTCAGAGAGAAGCCAGGTTGCTCTCTGACTGAGCTAATTTCACCTAGGGGAGCCTGTTTTAGGCAGTGACCCCAGCTGAGGAGCTGGGTAAAATGCAGGCCAGAGCAAGGAGACCGTTGCAATGAGCTGCGGGAGAGCTCAGGGGGTGGACAACCCACGCTTCTCCAGCGAGGACAGCCTGTGTTTCTCATCACCAGGCGCTGATCTGGGGTGAGCTGCTTGCCTCACCCCAGTGGGAGGAGTGAGGATGATGGTGGCACATCATGGGTGTGGGAATAAGGTGTGGGGGTCCTCAGCTGGGACAGCAAGAAAGCAATGCTCAACCAAAATCAGATTCCTTTTCCATGGCACTGCAGCTCTTTGAAATAAGATGGTTCAATGGATGAGAAAGAAAAAAAAAAAGGAGGAAAAACCCAAGCCCCTTGCAAATAAGTAAAGTAACCAGAAGGATCGTGCAGATTTTAATGAAACTTCCTGTTGAGACAAATGAAAGCACCAGCTGCTCCTCCAAAAAGTATCATGACAGTGATAGCCACTAGAGAGCAGCCTTGAAACCTCCTGTAAGAATCAGCAGGATTTATTCTTGAAGGGAGAAGTGAAACCTGAACTGACACTGTCGAGGTCTTTTACAAGAAATTCCCTTGCTGGGCTTGTTTCATTTCTGACCAGTATGGAAAACCCCAGCATCACTAGTTCTTGCTATGGGCTTAGCTTGAGCTGGCTGGTGCAGAGATGAAGCTGGGAATTCATGCCCCTCAAACCACCCCACCCCTTCAGAGACTGAAAGGGGAGTTTTTAAGGGCCTAGGTTCTCCTCTGGGTTGCACCAGCACCAGCTCCACAGACAACCAGAAGTTAGGCTGCCAAAGGAGGGGCCAACAGCATGTCCTGAGCTGCCCAGCTGCACACATGTATGACAACTTGGGCTGCTCAGCAGAAGACAGTAAGAACAACCATCACCTTGCCCATTAGGTCCAGTGGGTAAAAAACTGCTGGAAAAAAAGACCTGATTGATGGTCAGATATCTCGCTATATTACTTCACTCTTACACTAGGAAGTAACTGTCTTGGACACATGCCAGTAATGCAGGAAGAATCAGGCTTCTCATATGCCCACCCAGCTTTTGTGCTTTCTCCCAGGGATGCAGACTATCACAGGATGCTTAGACCTGTGAACAAGCCTCAGTGCCTAAAAAGAGCTCCTTCCACCCCATTTCCCCTGAAAAACAATACAAACCATAGGTTTTGGGGATCTGCATTTTGTAAACAGGATATCTCCAAGCAGATCCATCCTCCCTGGATGGAAGGCTCATCAATTTCTGTATTGTAGCAGCAACCCTGCAGCAACATGCAACTGTTCTGGGCACGCTGGGCAATGTCACGAAGAACAGTGTCGCAGTTCCCTTTCCACAAATATAGAAGCCAAGGCAGAAACGAGATTTGCCCACACCAAAATAGTGGTTTGTTGGTTTGTATCCACAAGAAAAAATGCTTACACAACTATTTTCTCTGTGTATTTGAATTCCACTAAAAACTCAGAAATTCACAGCATCATTTCAACTACTTTTCACAGAGGAGTGTCTCTTTCGAGTTACTAAAAATTTTGTGAGAACAGGCAGGTGGAAGAGAAAGATCCTACCAGTGCCAACAGTGGCAGAAAGGCAAGGAACCAGCACAGCCATCACTGAGGTTGTGGTTGAGATGACAACGTCTGAGGCTTTAGGACTCTCAGAACAACGACAGAAAAACTCCATGAACCTGGTCCAGAGCTCTAGTCTGGTGCAAACCTGTTTTGCCAGTTCAGACTGTGCAAGAAATGTTGCTGGGTTAATTTCCTTCTGGCAGCTTTTCATCCAGGTAAGGTGCTGTTCTCAGGTAGAAGAGTCAGTCAGCATAAAAGCACTATGAGACATGCTGATCACAGGCACTTTCTGCTTCCACAGTCCCATGCCCACCCCTGATACACACAGACACTGCTGGTGGTCTTTGCCCAAAGCCAAGCTGAGTAATAAAGGAACTGTGCTCAGACTCAAATGGAAACAGGGTCATGCCTGTGGGATGCCAGCAAACACTGCAGTTTCGTGGTCACGCTTGCAAGTTAACAGTAGTTATCAGCAGTGCTCTCCTGAGGTCAGTTATCAGTTATCAGTAGTCTCCTGAGGTCACCTTTAGAGCTGTTGCAAGATACTGAGTATGGGCTGTAACAGCCCAAAACTTTACCTACACATTTACATTTTTCTCCTCTTTCAAAGTGACTCCAAAAATGCTCTGTGCCTTCAGTTCTGGTGATGGCTCCCTCCACTCTCTGGCTTCAGGGCTCCTCGTAGGAAGCTCCTGGAATTTGATTTCTCTTAATTTCCTGTCGCTTGTGCTATTTGGGGCAGGAGGGAGGTGCTCCTATGGAGAACAAAAAAAAAGGGGAAGGGAAAGCTCACGGAAGGGGCCGCTGCTTCTGTGTCCCAGTCTGGTGGCTGCAAGACATTGCCTGACATTTCTCTGCAAAATCAAAGACATGTAAGAGCTGAGGACAGATTAGCTTTCTCCTACCCAAAACCTCTGCACAGCTCTGGGGAGGAGGAGGGGTTGTGACGGTAACTGATCCACCCCATGGAGCCTGACGGGTGTCCAAGCACTCGCTGCAGGCTGAGTAAGGATGCTCAGCTGATTTACTGTAATATCAAGAAGAAAGAGTGATGGAAGGGAGGCCCTGGGACAAAGGCCTGAGCCACCTCTAAGTAATCAGCAGGTACCAAGGACCATCATATAATGCTAACTAAGGTACAAAGGAGATGGGAAAAACAGGGCTTCACACTAGCTCGAGCAACTATTTTGCAGATGCTGTTGGCATTTTTTAAGACATCTACACAGCAGAGAAAAATTTTCAAAAGAAGGTATTTCAGCAAGACAGAGCGTTTCAGGAGACTAGTCTGTGCTGAAGTCAGGGGATAGCTGAAGTATGAAAAAAAATGCTCGTCTGAAAATGTGGAGCCACATTAGCACTCCAGGTGAAAAATGGGATTCTTTGGTCTTCTTGAACACCAAGTGAGCAACACAAATATGCAAACACACAAACAAGCAAACATTAAAAAAGAACTTGATCTTGAAGATCTAATTTCATACACGTTCCCCACTAGGGAGGGAGTAAGAGAGCAAATGACAAATGAGCTGAGTTAGTATGCTGTGAAGGCACTCCTGGAGGTGTTCAGAGAAATCCTTCAAGATTCCAATGATGAACTTTGCTTTTTTTTTTTATACTAGTGCTTATGAAGGGGTAAGGAAACTACATTACATAAGCTCAAAGGCTTCATTTCTGCTGTAGCCTTTCTCAAAATTTTCATTTTAAAAAGGGGTTCATGCACACATATTATACTCTATCCTTATTCTTTACATGTATACATGTTATTAAAAATTCTGCAATGGCCACAAATATTAAAAAACCTTGTCCTAAAGTTTCTGCTTCTCATCCCACCATACAAAGAGTGTCCTCAGGCTGTGGTTGAACTTGAGAAGCTTTCTTACTGTAGGTATTTACTAGTGAAAAATGAAAGTGGAAAGTGTTTTTCAGGTTAAAGTAGCTCCTCTGACAGGTTTACTCAGGAGAAGAAAGCAAGGAGAAGAAAGAAGACGACAGCGCACACACATCCCTCCCTATTTGGAGGGAACAGTTACCCAAAATTTAAAGGTACCTGATAACTTGCATGTGTAAACTGCAATTCCCTGCCTGGGCTTTTGCCATTCACTGAAATTCTCTCATCTAGTTCATCAGCTGAGAATAACAGAAGATGACTGCTTGGTGGGCAGCTCTCCCAGATGCACGTGCAGACGGGTCCAAGCGCCTGCAGACCAGTGCAGGGAGGGCAGTGTGCCTTCTGCCTCACCTGGCAATGCTTTGATGACAAACTGCTAAAAAAGCAGCTGTGTCAGCTTCAGGAAAGCTTCTCCCAGGCACAGGGCTTCTCATGTTAGGGATCTCCTCGTCATGAGGCAGCAAATATTCACTAAGGGTTTCAATGGAAAAACTTTCACTGAACCAAAGCCCATCACGTAATGATTTTCACACCTCCTTTGATGAGCAGGATTACTCTGGCCTGGCACTACAGGAAGTTAGACACAGGTTCTTCATAGTCTAAGTACTCCTAATGAAAGGAACATGGGAATTACACTGGATGCTCTCATGTCACACAATCATCATCCTGTTCAAATAAACTATCAAACAGCCTCAGCAGCTCTGCCCAGGAGGGATGGTGGACCATCTCTGCATTATAGGAGAAAACCATGGGCTTGCTATGCAGCTGCTCAACACCTTGCCCAGTGCAGCAGGTGCTACAGAAAAACACCACAGGAAACATTCAAATTTAAATACAGCTCCACAAATATTTTATGATTCACAATGATTCTCCATTTAGCCACGCTCAAGCTTTTTTTTTTTATTATTATTTTTTTGTCTTTTTGGGTTTCCTCATGCAGTAAACACAACTTCTTGCAAAAAGACATCCCTTAGATTCTTCCTTTCACCTTTCCAGGAGTGCCCTGGAAAAGGTCCTGTCCTGTGAGCACGCAACATGTAGTCCTTGTTCCACTGAAATTACTCTGTGTCTCATTCCAGTGACTTGAGAGGGGTTAAAAGGCTGCTTCAAAGCATCCCAAACAGCTTTAAAGGATATTTTTTAGCAATACAGAAGTGTATTAGTAGGAACCAGGTTTCCTTGTGCTGGGTGGCTGGCAGACACCAAGTGTAGTGTTATCATCAGTTGTATGAAAGTTGCATAGGGTGGCAAAAACAGCCTGTTTGCTATCTAAAGTAATTAGTTATTTCACACATACACCCACATTAATTGTGTTAATCTTCCACACTTCAGTCAAAATAGCAGTGCAGTTCACTGCAGTCCTTTTCTGTGGTTTGCGTTTCTGTTATCCACGTAATCACAGCTCAAAGCAGTGAAGTGGGGCAGGAGTAATAAATAACCAGGGACCACCAGGAATACTAGTAAAGCTGTTCTGCCCCATCCACCACCAAAAAGCAACCTGACAGGCAGGCCATTGCTAATTGAGCTAATTACTGCACCTCCTCAAAAGAGTTCTGGTGAGTTTACACTTCCCCACTTAAGGATTAGCAACAGATTTTTCAAATTTAGACTTGAACCCCTAATCCCTTTCTGCTGAGGTATCTTGATGTTAAAAGCAGAGTGCAAATTCTTTCCTTGGGAAAGGCAATTTGATGACAAGAAGTACCTCTGTTTCTTCTTTTCTTCATTATTATTATAGTTACTATTCCTGCTACTATTACTAATAATTTTTTTTCTATCTGAAACTAGATATTCAGGTTACAGTATCAGACATGTTCTACAGCATATTCCTTACTGTGCCTACCACAAGTAGACTTTTTCTTCTTCTCTGTAAATCAGCTCTGTAACTAGCCTCAATGAAGTTTTACAGCCAGATGTTGTTGCCTCTGCTGAATCATCTTTCGCCTCTGTTTCTGTAAATATTGAAAAGATGCTGTAAATATTAAAATAAAATGAAAGCTCCTGCAATCTTCCAAGGGATTGCATGGTATCCCTTCTCCATATTTAAGGATGCCTGCAAGCTTTAACTGCAACACAGCTAGTTAAAGGGAGAGCAAGGATGAGATGCTGAGGGTATGCACCCTGCAACACTAAGGGTGCCAAGCTAATTTCCGCCAGCTGAGAGCTCATCTACTGTTTAGAAAGCACCAGAAGTAGAAGACTTAAGAATTACTTTGGCAATGCTCTGTGGTTTGTTGTTTTGTTTGTTTGTTTGTTTGTTTGTTTTTGGGGTTTTGTTTTGTTTTGTTTTTTTAAATCAATGACATCCTTACACATTGCTACATATTAATCTTTTCCTAGAAATTAATTCTTTGCCTTGTCACCAGCTGCAAACTGCAGTAGCTTGGGTGATTGGCTAATGGATTCCAATTTTCTTTCTTGAACATATGGCAGTTGGACTTCTAAATGAAACTGTCTGGAATGATTCATTATAAACACAAGTTTATCATTCTCACTAGAATGTAATTTACAATGAACATTTTAACACCAGACACAAAGTAAATGCCTTGTTATACAGAGAAATAGGAATGACAAGTACAGTTTTCCCAGATGCTCCATTAAAACAAGCATTAGTGTCAGCTGCCCTACCAACACCACTTGTGAGTAAAAAGCAACCATTATCAACCTTATTCGAGCACCTGCAGCTACAGATGATGGTGTTTTTGAAAGCAGTCATGATCACACCTTTACACAATAAGTCCTCCCAGCTGATGTCTACAGTGCCCTGTCTTCACATCTTGTCAGACATTGCTCAAAACACCTCAGTTTATGGAGACTCCTTATCAAAAATGGAGTTCTATGGGACTTATAACAATAGCACTTCAAAGAAATCATTGACATCTGCTACATTTTTTGGCAAGAAACACAGATTAAAATCATCCTCTCTGCAGAAGAAACAAAAACAAGTATTAGTTATTTATGCACTGCATAACACTCCAAGTTCACAATCAGACTATGTATTGGCCTAAATCCAGACCATATTCAAGTTCGCCATGACTTTCAAAAGAAATAGATCACCCTGCACAATTTTTGGAAGCATTCCTGGTTCAGATTTACACCAGTGGAAATAAGGACGGAATGTCAGTACTCTGGGTAAAATTAATAGTTCTGCACAATGATCACTGTTAATAAAAATTTCTAAGTACTTGCAAAGCATACATAGGTCTACACATAAAAATCACTACACAGAAATAAGCCTTTTTTTTAGACTTCTTTTTTATGTTATGGTAAGAAAGCATGAGTGCTTGATTTTGTTTTCTGAAAAGGAGGAGAGTGATATGCTGTAACTGCTGTGAATGCCACCACAAGGACCCAGAAGCTGATCAGTCAGAGGACTGCTACTGAATCTATGAAGCATTTCATTTGTGACGCCTATTTAATTCAGTAGAGAATGACACCAGCTGAAATACATGGCAACTCACAGCTCTGGAGATGTTTTTACTAGACAAACGTGATTACAAAGACCAAGAAATACCTGAAAATGGGAAGCAAAACAGTCACACACAAAAAGAAATCTGATGCAAAACCCCCAAATCTGTAAATCCCCACTACCTTTGACATGCAAGAGAACAGAAAGCCTGTTAAAAACGCTTCCTATGTTTGTTTTTCAAATAGCCACACAGCTGCAAAAATCTCTGCTGTCCTTCCTTGTGATGATCCTACATATCAGTGGGTGGTCTGACCAGCACAGCGATAGACGTGTCCTGCTACAACGTGGCAGAGGGTGAATATAGCGCAGGGCTTTCTAATAATAAACAGCAGAGTATGTAAGTTACTTCTGCACTACATTGAGAAAAACCAAAAATGTCCTCAAGTGTGCTCAGAAACAGAAAGGTGGGTTGTCCCATGCCCTCCTCCTGCCCGCAGTTTCCAGGCAGATGAAATCATGACAACACTCCCACCCCCAGTAAAACAACATATTCACTCAAAAATGACACAAAAACGGATCTGACCTGACCCTTCAGCTACATTTTACTTCCCCTCTGATGCTTTGGGCTCTTACCTGGTGCAGTTTTGTAAGACGCAGCTCTGGTGGGCATGGGTGGTGTGCTCTTCATAACAGGGCTTGGTGCCACCTGCAGACCTTGCCGCTGCCTCTTCAGCTCCTCTTCTCGTTCCTGGGCAGCTCTGATCTCTTCTTCTATCATTGACAAAGTCCTCTGCTTCCTCGACCGTAACTTGAAAGGGCCCACGCTCACTTCAGAATCCTGCGTGGCCAGGATGGAGGCAGTGCTCCTCAGCTCAGCTGCCTCTGAATACTTGCTGAAATAGCTGACTTCGTGCCTGTTTTCCTCCACAAGGAACGGCTGACTGGCTGAGTACACTGATGACTGCTTCTCTTCCCTGAGTCCTGAGTCTTCCTCTTTTGAAGTCTTTGGTATGGTGTCCCTTTTTTCTTGAACAGGTGAAGACACCTGGGGTGGCTGAAACATTGGGTTCTGCTGCTCTTCGGAGGCTGGAGCTGGCCCGGTGGTGACTGGCTGCTCTTTCAGCAAGATCTCCTTCTCTGCTGGGACTTCTTCTTCTTTGCAGTTTGCTCTATCCACCTGCTCAGCTATGGCTTGTTGGATGGCATTTTGAACTAGCAGGCCAGCGTGGTACTCCAGCTGGTCGTCAATCAGCATGGAGTCAGCCAAGGCAGAGGAGGGCGAGTCACAGCCTGGGTCACTGAACGACTTGGTGATGCCTTCGCCCCTGCACTCCGCCGGAGTGTCGGCCTGTGGGGTCTGCGGCAGGGAGAAATCAGCCAGGGAGCTTTCCTGAAGGGCGCTCATGGTCTCATTGGATGCACCACTGTCACTGATGTTATCCATGCTGAAGTCATTGGAAAGGGTCTCCAAGACGGTGGTATCCTGAGACCTGATAGATAAGTCATCCAAACCAGAGTCAAGCTCTTCTGGAGGGGAAGATGCGCTAGTTGGCTTAGGGAACTGGTCCAGCACACCCTGTCCATCATCCTTCACCACTGTGAAGACCGCTCTCGCACTCATGAATTCTCCATCCTCTGCCCACAGTTTTGAGGCCTGTCCAGCTCTGGGGCTGTCACTGCCTAGTAACTCTCTTACTGGGTCAGCAGTGGTAGTCTGAGTGCTTATATCATCTTCTGAGGTACAGGAGACCTTCTGTGCTTTGACAACAGTGGCATTGTTATCCTCAAGCTGTCCTGTTTGCCCACACACTGAAACAGGTCTTGTTATGGAGGACAGTGGCCTGTCTACATGTGGAGAATTTAGGCTTTTGTAGAAGGGTTTGATGGAGAACATTTTGGGTGTTCCTGACCGCCTCGGTGGGGCCTGACCCTGAGATGGACCTGAATGTTCCATTAGCTGGAACTGCTTTCTGGCAGCTGAGAAGTCAATTTGCTCTGTGACAATATCTTCTTTCTTGATGTTGACTGGTTCTGGTGGTACAAAAGAGCAGCTGACCTGCTTGGGGGATGTTGGTGCTGCACCTTGCTGCTGCTGTCTCTCCTTACGCTCTTTGTACTTCTTGTGGGACTCCAGATGCTCTTCATCCAGTTGATCCTCCAGGGTCTTCTCTTGTGGAGGGTTCCACCATTTGGCGGCAATGCTGGGGTTTTTCTTGACAGCCTGGCTTTTAATGAGTTCCCTTCTTTCCTTTTCAAGTTCCATCATTTCCTCTGATGGTCTCACTTTGCGGACCCTGTATTTTTCCTTCTCTTCCTCATCTTCAAAGAGCTTTGAGGGCTTTTTGTCTTCATGGAAGGCTCGTAGTTCAAACTTAGCCTCTTTTTTAAGAGTTGTAAGAGTTGTTTCTCCATCCTTAGAGGATCTTCTAGAACTGTTTGAAGAAGTCGGACTTCCTGGCACCTTCAGACTCTCCCTAGCATCTTCTTTCAATCCACCCAAGGGATGGCCATTAGATTTCAGGTTCTCCTCTGTCATGTTAGCTTCATATGTTTCAACTACCAAGGGTGCCTGCTTGTCGGCTACTTTTTCTTCCCTTTCACTGGGTACTGAATCATTTTTGACATTCACAGATGCTCCTGAGCCATCCATAATGGAGACTGCACTTGGTTCAGGGGAGGATGTCCCATTAAAGGTATTATCTGCAGCAGAATCGCAGCAATTTGCCTCCAGCACTTCATCTAGGTATCTGATCTCTTTAGCAACTTCACTGTCCAGAGATTCGTGCCTGTCCTTAAGTCCATTGTGGCTGGCAGCAGGGGAAAAGAAGTGGGTTGGATTGTCTATGGGGTGTGGTGAAGCCACTGTGGTGATGCTTTTATGTTCAGAAACTGGAACTTCAATTTCCATTTTCTCTTCCTGTGTAGCAAGCACAGTAGCTGGCTCCAAGAAATTGGCACAGTTTTGGTCTGTGTTTTTTCTCAACCTGATGTCATCCTCAGGGATTCTGGAAGATTTCTGAAATAAAAGAGAACAAAACCATGACGAGGAAGTCCTAAAAAGCAACATTTTATTTTTCACAGAGTAAACACAAAATCCTAGCCCTTCTTAAACTTGAGATTAAAACAGACCCTCAGAGTGTGGGAAGGCAAGGCAAATAATTAACACAAAAACTAGAAAGTTACCTTATCATAAGCTGGACAAGGCACTAAAACAACAACAAACTTCCATTTAAGTATCTCCTCTCTGCTTGCCATCCTCACTCTGTCATTGTTTCATGCCTGTGTCCTGGTTTGCCACTGAAAATGAGCTTTGGATTTCCAAGTTATTAATGACTTGGCAGTTTAGGTTCTTCAAAGGTTTGCACACGCAGCACACACCTAGCATCTTGGTATTTTAAAAATGCTTTCTGCACCTGAAGGAGACCTCATAATGCTTCTACAGATGAAAAGTGTTACTGCCCCTGTTTTGCAGAAACAGATGCTAACGTGCAGGAAGAGTAGGCGATCCATCCCAAGATAGGAAAAAGGACATGGCAACAGCAGGGGATGTTAATTTCTCAGTGGATCAATTCTGGTCATCAAACACAGGGTAGAATTACACGGTGCTGGAAAGATGCAGGGTCTTGCTCCAGCCCACACGGAAACACATATGCAACTGGACCTGGGAGACAGGAAGAGTTTGCAACTCCCACGGTATGAAGACCACCACAAGGAGCATGACAGGGACCAGGGTCATGGTCTCCTCCCTCCCACTGCTTTGATCTGCAGTGCAGATGCACTGGATTAATATTTTTCCCTGATGCATTGCCTCTGCTCTAGAGAGGGTATTGAAAGAAACACTATTTATGTTCTGGTAGGGCAGACTTTACCCATCAAGCAGCCTACTGAACTTCCCGCGAGTAAAGTCTGAAGGAACTTCTGATTAAGCTGGTAACATGCCAACTAATTTCTCAATAATTCTTTACTGCTGAAAAGCAAAAAAAGGAAATGTCAAAAGAAAAGAAGAGGGCCTTTTCAGCACTACTCTTCAAAAAGAACTTGGTAACTCCTGCTAATTCTTCCTAACTCCTGAAAACAAAAAGTGACACAACTATTTACTAACATTTTAAAATAGAAACTTGATATCTCAGGTCTCCAGCTCCCTTTCCACATGTGTTCCTATGTGTGAGGCATGGGCTTGGGAAGAAAATGGCACTCATCAAACCCTGTGAACTCAGTGACCAGACAACAAAGGCACCATTGTCTGCTAGTCACCCCTGCCCTTGCTGTCCTTTATCCTGCACGCTATTAATACACATTGCTGCAGAAGATGATCAGGTGGCACAATGGCATTTACCAGTGACCTGAACAATCACATTGCCCCTGGGTTTATACAGGCGGTAAAATACATTTGACACACCTTAAAGAATTATAGTCAGACAGCCAGAAGAGCAGTCTTTCTAAAAGCACTTTGAAAGTTTTCTGTCTATGTAGTTGTACATACTTGAAGATAATGCTGGCTTCAGCCATTAGATATGTTCTTAATTGTGCTTAAACATTGGGAAAAACCTTTAAAAACAAACAAACAATCTGCTTTTGTCTATATATTTTACTTGATATACTTCACAGGTTCTACCTGCATTTCACTTCCTGTTGAACCTAGAAATCCTCCAGCTGAAGTTTCTAGCAGTACTTTTCTTAAAGCATATTACATTTTTCACCATTTAAATATCTAAATGTGGACAGTTTCTTCTTTAGTCCTATTAAGGATATATTCAAGAATCAGACGTTCTGCAAACAAATACAGAACAAGCAGTATAAAAAGTCCTTACTTCACTAAAGCACATCTACTTCCATCACTGCTTTAATGTACCAACCATTTCAGATCATACCATGTTTGGGTATTCAGGTTAGGGAACGGAACCACAGGCACAGTATTTTACCAATTTCTTACCAAGTAGGAGCCCATCCTCTCATCATAGTTGCAATCCATAGCTCACAATTAAGGCATATCCCCATAACTGTCTAATCAGGCCATGCATTTACGACAGCATGTAATTCTGAAAGTGCATGTGTCTGTGCAATTAGTATGGCACATATAATTATGTAGTAAGACAGACAATTATGCAGAAAAACCTATGAGGAAACATAGCTACTTAAGGGAGGGAGCCTTTCTTTGCCAGGGATTAGTAACTGAGCAAGGACGAGGGCTCCCAGCAGGACAGAGAAGCCAGGCAAGAATGCCAGAGGAGGGAAAATAAATTATTAAAAAACCCACCCAGTATTTCCCTCAACACATTCTGGCAGAATCTGGGGACAATTTCATGAGGTCATGCCAATGAGAGTATGCTTCAGACACTGCTGTGTGGAGCCAAATTCACTCAACTGATGAATTACCTGAAGAAGATAACTGGGAGATCATAAGGATGGAAGCAGCTGACAAAACAAAGCTTTTCAAGACAGTCCAAGCCTCAGAGCCTGTACAGGATAACTGTCTGAGCCTGAGAAAATGTCACACGTTGGGATGATGACACCATGGTCAGGAGGAGGCTTGGAGGAGGAGGAGGGTGGCTCGCACACAGACCCCCTGCCTCAGCTGTTTGGGAAAAGGAGGCAAGTTTGACAGAGGGCTGCTTTCGCTCCTCAACCATAAGTATGTACAAATACAATAGCTTTGTATTTGCCGCCTACAGAGAGGAGGCTTTTCAAAGCCTGCACCATTACAAAGGCCTGTAAATGGTAAAAGAGCTGCATTCAATCCTCATTGTAACCAACGTTCACAGTGATTCCCATGCTCATCTAGACTCAGATTTTCCAGAAGTTACAATTACATTTACAGTCTGAGTGTGCATTCATTTCTATTTAAGTCAAGATGCAACTGGGTAATTAGTGTCATTTCTACAACGCTGCTGCACTTCACTAAACTGCAGTTATTAGCAGCTTAGAGAATTATTAGCATATTTCCTCCTTGGTTGAATTCTTCATCTACAAAAGTGTAAGTGTTTGGGCAATCAACCCTTTTAGAAGGAAAAAAAAATAAATGTGGGTGTGCTACTAGCAAGACCCAGCAAATGTACTGCCAGTGCCTTCCTTTGTTTGGTGCAATGCAAAATGCATATGACAACAAGTGGGAGGCAATCCTTCTGAGCCACACTGACATTCTTCTGAAGCAAGAGTGGGGAGGGGGCAGAAAGGAAAAGATTAAACAAATAAAAACATGTAATGGTTTAAAAAACCTAAAACACAGTTTCTTTATTGTGGGCTTCTACCAGTCACCCAAGTTTCAGGACAGCTTTTGATGCTGTTGGTGTCATAGCGTCATTACCATTGTTGACTGTCCATTTATTCAGGTTTCATCTTCCTTTGGAGATGTCTTGTACTGCACCTGCTTCTCCTCCCACCCCCTGATCACTGAGCCAGTGCTTTGTTTAATCTTTTCCCCTTTGCTCTTGGATCTAACTCTTGAGCCCGCCTTATAACAGCATAACTTGAAATCGCATTTGCATATGGTTGACTGCCTAATCCACACCTCCCCGCTCATGTCAATCATCTTCTCCCTCTTCACCTACTGTCTTGGCCTGCCTTTCCAACGTCTTGTGGCAAGGAGAAGGAACCAAATTATGGACTTGCTAGGGGGTTGACTGTCAAACCTTCAAGAGAGTGGCTGCTTTCATTCAGCTCATCCTTCTGAAGAATGCAGTCAGTATCTGCGACAGAGATGTAGCCAGTCCCAAGCACCAGAAACATACAGCAGTTTGCACCCCCGTGCTTCCGGACTGCCACCCTGTCCAGCAAGAAAGCCCCTAGCCAACACAGGTATTGCTCCACTCTTGCTAGCAACAGCAAGTATTTCTTTAGAGAAGTCATCTTCTGTAGAAGAACAGTATGACATGGAAGTGTTGCAGTTCTTAAATGATCAAGAGAAGCAAAAGCAGAGTCGTACACGGCGCTAGCACCCATTCCTCACAGTTCAAGGTCACTGCCACACAGTGGGTGCTCAGAAAGGTGCCACCATCCCACCCCATCCTAGGTGGAAATGACAGACCAAATCACTGTGATGGCCTCCATCTCATGTTGGCTGGTGAGCTCCTCCCTCCCATGGTAGACTCCCACGGGGTGGCTGCCATCCCATCCACCTTCAAAAATTTAGTGATCCCCCTCATCACTGGAGAGACAACAATGCTCCAGGTGGGAGTCTTTGCAGAAAGCGGTAGCAGAGAAAAACTCTTCCAAAAGATCCTGGAACTGAGGAAGAAAAGGAATGCAGCTGATGATGCAGGGCTCAAGGAAAGGAAGGGGATTTCTACTCACAGTACCTTCAGGAACTATGTCTTTCAGTAAAAAAAAAATTAAAAAAAAACAGCCCAAACCCAAAGTGTTGTCTTCCTGCTATTGTGTGAAAAGGTCCCAATTTTCCATACAATACTTTTATACTGACTCCTAAGGATTTTAAAAATACTATAGAAAGTATTGTCAAAAAAAATTATATTTTTTCAGTTAATGATAAAATTCCAGTTTCAGAAAAAAAAAATATCCCCAAATCCTGTTGTGAAATGTTGTTGAATTTAAGACATGGCAGGCACATGCTAGCAAGACCTTGAATAGTTCCCTTCATAATACTACTTGCACACAAAAAGCAAAACCTGGCCTGTTCCTCTCACAGTGCAGTACACCGTGTCTTCATTACACAGGTGGAAATAATTTCTGATGACTAAAATATATTAGCATTGAGTGTCATAAGTGACATTCTCTGTGAGGAGCTCTCTACACTCTTCAATGACTTGTCTGAGGTAGCCAAACAGTAAATAGCCAAATTTTCTTTAAGAAAAGCTGATTTTTCTCCTTCTAAGCACTTCAGAAATCACAAGAGTATAGTCTGAAAATCAATGCAACTTCAGGCTACCTCCCCCTAAGCAGCAGTGGGGGGCTCTTTTGGAATACAGATAGTAATAAGGGACATGGGGACACAGTGCCCAAACAAGTGACTACTTGGAGAGCTTGATGCGTGACATTTTCTGAGTGGTTTTCTGTAT